TTTTCCTTTAAAATTTTTCTTTCTTTGATTAAGTTTTTCTTTCTTTTCTTTTTTACTATTTCCTGTATGTAATTATATTAATACCATTTTACTCTTTAATGGGATCTTTTATCTCAGACTTCTCTCCTCTTTATCTTACACTGATAAATTTTTCAAAATTTTCTGCTTTTATTTTCCTATTCCCCACTCCTTCTATCTTCACTAACATAATCATTAATAGGATATAAAACATAAGTAATTCTCAAACCCTGTATGAAATTAAAAGGAAAGAAGTATTTTCAAAGTCATTCCTAGAAACTAGCAATACATTGATTCCCACACCAGGAACAGACCCAACCAAAAATGAGAAGTATAGGCCAATCTCTTTAGTGAACATAAACACACAAATCCTCAACAAGATAACAACAAAATTAAACAAATCATCAAAAAAGATCCTACATCATGACCAAGTATGCTTTACCCCCAGAGATTCAAGGATAGTATATCACACATGCAAATCAATAAATATAATACATCACATAGATGGAAACAAAGACAAAATTCACATGATCATCTCAACAGATGCAGAAAGAAGCTTACACAAAAAATTCAATCATAAAAGTTTTGCAGAAAATAGTCATAGAAGGACATTTTAATCTTATAAAAGCCATATATGACAAAGATATTGCTGACATCATATTATATTGGGAAAATCATAAAACTTTCTCATGAAAATTAGAAACAAGACAAGGATATCCGCTATCACCACTTCTGTTTAATACAGTTCAGAGACATTAGCTAGAGCAATAAGACAAAAGAGGGACTGGGGAGATGGCTCAGTAGAATAAGCACTTGCCTGGCAAGTGCAAGGGTCTGAGTTCAATCCCTGGTTCCACAAAAAAAAAAAAAAAGATTAAAACAGCATGGTAGTGTCACAAAAACAGACATAGAGATGAATGGGTCAGAATAGAGGATGCACAGACAATGCCATACACATTCTGCTAACTGATTTTAACAAAGGTTCCAAAAAAACAAAATACACTAGAGGGAGCATTGCCCTTTTACTGAAACCTGTTGTGATAACTGGCTATCTATATGCAGAACACTGAATGCAGACCCATATTTCTCACCAGGTGAAAAGTAAAATTAGAGCAGAACAAAGATCTAAATGTTAAAAGAGAAACAATCTTATTTTAGGATAAACATGTAAAATTCTGTAAGACTTAGGCAAGGACTTTTTGAAAAGAACCTTGATTGTATAAGAAATAACAAATGGGATCACATGAAATTAAAATATTTCTACACAGCAAAGGAAACAACCTGAGTGAACCGACAATCTATGGAACAGAAAAACATCTTTGTAAGGTTCCTTCCTCTGGCTTGAAAACGAAGTGGGAGAGAATTGAAGAAATCCTTTATTGCTTAGCACAGGAGGGCTGCCAAACAGAAGCAAAAACCCTCAGGGAGAAGGCAAGGAGACAAATAACTTTTTGGGTTGGGTTGGGGGTAGAGCTTGTATGGGCTATGAGGTGTCCTAACAGGCACTGAATAGGGAAGGCTTGGTACATGAAAAACAAAAGAGGAAGTCAGAGGTTAACCAGGGGGAAGAAAACAGAAGTCAGTCTAGGAGCAGCACTTCCTTGGATCCCTGCACCATGCTGACCCTCCACCATGATGACCTGGCCAACCCATCAATTTTGTCAGCTCTTCCATAGACAAAGGACTCATACGTAGAATGTAGAAAAATATCAAAAAATTAGACCCCCCATACAAAAGTTCTAATAAAAAAGGGCAATTGAAATGAATATACACTTCTCAGAGAAAGTAGTATAAATAGCCAGGAAATACATGAAAAAACATTCAACATCTTTGCCACTAAAGAAATGCAAATTAATACAGTGAGATTCTACCTTATTCAAGAAAGAATAGTTATCAATAAGAAATCAAGTAATAACAAATGTTGGCAAGGCAGAAGTGAAAAGGGAACCTTTCTGCATTGTTGGTTGGAAAGTAAATTGGTACAATCACTATGGAAATCAGTGTGGTGTGTCCTCAAAAATTAAAACTAGAAATTTCATTTGACCCAGCTATTCCCCTTCTAGATATCTTCTAAAAGAGTTAAATGTCATCATATTGCAGTGATACATGCATACCTATATTTATAGCAGCACAAATAAAGCTAAATCTTGGAATCAGCCTGTATGTTCATCAACAGATAAATGAATAAAGAAATTGTGGCATTTATATATAGTGGAGTAATACTCTCCCATAAAGAAAAATAACTTGCATCATTTATAGAAAAATGGATGCACCTGGAGGCTATGTTAACTGGAGTAAATCAGACTAACAAGTTTACATATTGTATGTTTTCTCCTATATGAGCAACTCAAAATATAAAAAGAGTAAAATCTAAGATTATAGGAAATAAGAAATAGGTGTTTTACCTCGGAAAAGGACCAAGAGATGGAAGGGGGAAAGTGGGACGGGAAAGGGGATGGAAAAAAGTAAGAAAAATAATTTAAAAAAATAAAAATAAAAAAAAGAAAA